ATTATCTCTCGTTTTCCTAGTCTTAGAATTGAAAGATAGAAATAGTTCTTGAAAAAGGCTTCTTGAATAAATTTTACGACTACCATAAAATTATAGAAAATATTCGACTATTTATTTGTAACATATTTAGGTGTTTAATACATTAAAAATTAACATATTAGAAAGCACATAAATTATGCAACATCGTAGTAGTTTAAGATAATACATGTTTAACATTATCTTGTTCATTACAGGAACAATTATTTTCTTTTTTTTTTATACTATTTTCTAATTGCATGAATATTCGTAGCTATGATAGTAAGCTCGTGTTATATTAATAATATAATTTTTTTTGTATGTTATTTCAATATAATATTTATCTATAAAATTATTAAATAAAACGAAGAAACTAAGTTTCAATATCTATTTGAAGATATTATGTACATTATGATAATATAGTAATTTATTTAAATTAATCAAAATACATTAAATAAAAATTTTTTATCTTAATTTTAAAAAAAAATATACATATGATATTTTTAATATCTTTTTAAACAAATTTTTTTAATTTTATTTAAAGCCACAATCAAACACATTCAATTATATCGACTAGATATTTCATAAAAAATCATAAATTCATAAGGAATATAATTTTTAACATCATTTTTAAATAAATTACAATCAACAATTAATATGTTTCAAATTTTTATATTCGTTATAAAATATTTATCTAGTCAATTTTTAACAATATATTTTGATCATGGCCGCTATTTTTATAACTATAATCAATTCACAGTCGTTGAGATACATATATAAAATTAATTCATTTCTTTTTCGATTCAAATTAATGAATTACGAACAAACGCTGAGAAATATTCTTTGCGATTGATATACAACCTGCTTGTATTAGTTTCCATCAAAGACACGATCGATTTTCTATACACTAATACATTGCACCATCAATAAGTAACAAGGAATCTTCCATTTGATTGATATATACATAAGCACAATCCTACTTCAAATTTTTTTTTAAAAACAATTAGTTAATTTCTGATAAATCTCTTTTAATATATTTTGAGACTTTCTTGATCTTTTATATCAGAGAAATTAATTTTTTTTCATAAAATGATCCTCTTAATTTTTATAACAAAACTTTACTATTTTATTAATACATTACATAGAAATCATGAAAAAATCTTATTTTTTTAAAAATAATTATTTAGTTTTTATGCTATGATTCTACAATAACAGAAAAAAAATTTTTTTTCTTATTTTTTTGCAATAAATTTATACAAAAAATATAATGCATAATAAAATAGTAATACAAGAATTATAAAAAAAGAATTATAGAAATTATAGAAATTATAGAAATATATTTGTATACTTGTAATTCAAAAAAAAAAAAAA